AAGGACAAGCACTCAGCGTCGACTGCACTCGCAATAACAGCTCCGATTAAACACGACATTCACACAAATTATTATACTTTTATTTTATTTTATATATATATATATATATTCTTAATTTTCACTGTTGAGCTTGTATTTTGACAGAAAACCACAGGGAGTCCTTAAAGCTTCTCTTTTGTGGACAATGTTTGGTTTATAAACACTTCTCATTACAAGTGAACTATCACTTTAAAATTCCCTTATGTTGGATGGCGTCAGGAATTTAAATTATGTAACAATCACAGTAATCGTAAATGATTATGATAAGTTCAAATAATCGCGACAGGCCGTCTCTTTAGTTCAGTATTAGAACCAATTTGGTATCTAGTAAAGCAAGTTCACTGTCTCTTTCTACCATTTTCTATTTCTCTAATTGCCTATTGCTTGTCTCCCTCTTGTTGTCTTGTTCTTTCATTTTTCCCTTCTTGTCACCATATGTTTTTAATGCTTTACTGTGCTGTATCAAAAAGGAGGTCAAGCTCAGTTTTTTTTCTTTTAAGCTCGTCAGAATTAATGGAAGGTCCAAAAGCTATTTCTTTTTCTAAATTTTTCTCCATTCATAATATTCAATTTGATCTCTTCCATAACCGCTTTCCACAACGTGCTGTTTTGTACATTTACAAATGTACACTTGAATATAAAAGCTTGGTGTATTCTCTTGATTTTTACATATCAAGGCAGTAAATGAAATGGCATAAGCGAGTGTGGTGAATTTAGGTGAGAGGGATATGAGAGGTGTGTGTGTGCACTGAGTCAGTTCTTTGATGTGTTATTAGCAACTACCGCTGGGCGAAACTTTCGCACCACTCTTCCTTTTTTTCTGTCCATCTAGCTTTCAAAGATTTTGTGCTGTGCTAGGCTTTATCCCTCCCCAGGCAAGATGAACTATGAGACCGAACAGCACATCTCAGACTGAATGTGACCAGAATCACTCAGACTTTGTTCTCTGAGCTGGAACACGAGAGCACAGTATTGCAGTGATTAACATAAACCTGCTTTAATTAGCAACCACATGCTCTCATTAACTCCCATTATAAAAATGTATGGAACATGTTAGGAAATGAAGCTGAATTTTACTTGGTTGAATTAAAATTTTGGAAAAATAACAAAAAAATATATATGTGACCCTGGACCACAAAACCAGTCTTAAATCGCTGGGGTATATTTGTAGCAATAGCCAAAAATACATTGTATGGGTCAAAATGATCAATTTCTCTGTTATGCCAAAAATCATTAGGATATTAAGTAAAGATCATGTTCCATGAAGATATTTTGTAAATTTCCTACCGTAAATATATCAAAACTTAATTTCTGATTAGTAATATGCATGGCTAAGAACTTAATTTGAACAACTTTAAAGGCGATTTTCTCAGTATTTTGATTTTTTTGCACCCTCAGATTCCAGATTTTCAAATAGTTGTATCTCAGCCAAATATTGTCCTATCCTAACAAACCATACATCAATGGAAAGCGTATTTATTCAGCTTTTTTCAGATTATGTATTAATCTCAATTTCAAAAAATTGACCCTCAACTCATCAATATTTGCTGAGAAAAGCTACCTTGAAGATAGTTTAAGAACTGTAGCTGACAAAAACAATAAAAAGGCAATATATTGTTTGCTTTATTTCTATATCATAAGCTAGCCACTGGCCATTTTCCAATCCATTTTGCAATCAAGTTTGTCAGTCTGATCGTTTGGTAGACTTGATTGTTTATTAAAACAATAAAATAATTAATAAAATAAATCTTCCCTTATTTAATAAATTTTTAATTAAATTACATTTCAATTGGATTACTTTTTTATCTTTTTTTTATTTTAACATATGTTATAAAATAAACCTTGTAATTTGGCTTAATAGCTGTGATTGTCATATTTAGTTTGTTGCATATTTTTTTGACCTCTATGACTCCAAATAATTTTGCTTTTATTATATGTTTGTCTCATGTTTAGGTCAAGAACGCTTTGGGAACATGACTAGAGTTTACTACAAGGAGGCAGTGGGTGCATTTGTTGTTTCTGACATTACTCGAGGCTCTACATTTGAAGCTGTTTCAAAATGGAAGCATGATTTGGACAGCAAGGTGAAACTGGCCAATGGCAATCCTATCCCTTCTGTCCTTCTCGCCAACAAATGTGACCAGAAAAAAGATGGATCCAACAATTCCACACTTATGGACAACTTCTGCAAGGAGGCTGGGTTTTTGGGTTGGTTTGAAACGTCAGCTAAGGTAATATAAGCTCATTCTGTGTTCGCTTAGCCACTTAAATGTTTGCTTGTGCTGGGTCAAACTGAAGGAGAACTTGTCACAAGACATTTTTGCTAAGAATAGAAGCTTCTTACTACACCTTTCCTCTCTAATCAGCTCAGACGACCATGAAAGCTGCCATATTAGATCAAGTATTTAAGATGGCTGACATTCTCCATGGTATTAGGGCCAAAACGGCACCACTGCGTCAGTCTTAAGAACATTAGCTACTCCTCATGCCTGAATCACCAGAAATATGTCAAATGCGCAATGTGTAACTTATCACGTGAAGCTGCAGTATGTATGGGATTTTTGAGGGAGACATTTTTCATCTCTGCTTGAACTGCTGAAACTTTGCCCACTTGTTTAAAAGGGTGATAGTGGCACAACGTTTAGTACATTGACCAAAACTTGAATATCAAATTTTATTGATGCAGCTATGTTTACAGATTGACAGAGTGCATTGCAATACATATTATTATTTATTTTTTTAATTGTTTTTTAATAATTGACTTTTATTAAAAGGAGTTATTTTTAGTTTTTAAATGATACTGCCATTCAAAACTCTGGAGTCATTTAAGATTTCTATTTGAAAGAATTTAATACATTTATTCAGCAAGGATGCACTGAATTAAAGTGGTAGTAAAGATGTACATTTCAAATAAATCCTGTTCTTTTGAACTTTTAATTCATCAAAGAATCCAGGAAAAAAGTTCCGTTTTCAAAAAATATTAAGCAGCACAACTGTCACGTGTGATAAGAAATGTTTCTTGAGCACTAAATTATTTACATTTTAAATTATAATAATATTTCGTAATATTACTGTTTTATTGTATTTTTGATCAAATAAATGCAGCCTTTGTGAACATAAGAGACTAAAAACATTAAAACACCTACCTGACCACAAACTGAACGGTAGTGTATTTTTGCTTTTTGACACAATAATAGCAATAATGTATATGATCAGCAGTCTACATCAGCAAAAAACATGCATTTTGAATATTATGCTACTAATATATTTTCTTTTTAAATTAATTTATTTAACTATTATTATTGTGTTTGTGACATGGAAGTCATGTTGTCTAGATAAGTTATTTTGTTTAGTGCCTGCAGTATGCTGACTTTCACATGGTTTCTATTACAAATGGTTGTCATTCCTGACTAAGATCCATAGTCGCATATTTTACAGTATCAGCTGAATGTTAAAAACGCTGCAAAAGGTAATGAAATATGTGTGTTTAGAGTCTTACATCAGCAATCTCTTTGCACATTAATCTCTTTCCTACACACATCTGAGGGATGCTAGGTGGGGTCTGGATAAATTAAGCTGGCTAAAGAGATATTCTGGGATGAGGGAAGGAAGAAAAGAGGAACAGGGAGGAGGAGAAGGAAATGTCTGTTTGTTAATTCTGTGTCTTGAGGAGTGTGTGATTGTGTAGGTATTTAACTCCCTGTTAAATTGTACCCCTTGACATGTATTTTCCAAGTCGCATGTTTTGGCCTTAAATATATCTTGATTTTGTCTTGCTATTTAAAAAGTGTTTGTTCGGTTTCTGTCTGTAGCAGTGTCTGGTCTTAACTGTTTAACAGAAGGTGTCTCATCAGTCAGTCTGCATAAGCACATGTTTTTTAAATAGATCTCTCCATTTGGGACTCAAGCACACAGATGTCTGGCAGGGAGCTCTGGCACCTGTCATGTGTAAATGTGTGTGTATTTGTGCACGTGCATGTTTTTGTATGGTAAATGTGTCAGCTCTCATCTATCGGGATCTCCGCGTGTTCAATCAAGCCTCTATTGCTGACTGATCTAAAGATTGTTTCTGTCTCTCTCTTTATATCTCCTACGATCACTCCTCTCCCAGTGGACTGCATGTGTATTTTGTTTATGCACCTTGTCCCACTTTTTTGAACAAATGACAGTTGTGTAAAATTATGGAAGACCATTTTGCCTCAGAGTAAAAAATAATAAATAAATAACAAATTATTGTGAGATGACAGATAACAGTTGTAAGAAATTAAAGGCACAATATGTAATTTTCGCCGCTAGAGGGCGCGTATTCAAAATAAACAAATAGACAAAGGTATAGTTTGATGACGCCGTGACTGAGTGTGGAATCATGGGAGTTGTCGTCTTCATCCCCACAAATGGATGCAATCCGACGGGACTCGGGCAGAAATCATGTTCATGGATGAGCTAATGATTTATTAATGTAGTAGAATGAAGCAGGGTGAGGCTGAAAGCCGTCGAAGCGAAACAAGGCTGCTGAACGAGCACGACACACAGCTCGAAGGCAGCGGAGCTTTTATTATGCCACAGTCGACTGCTTCTGTTCCTTCCGGTCGTGCATATGTGGAAAAAAAGCAGCGCTGTTTTATCATACTAGATACATTTGAATGTTCTGTTATAATGCTACTCTGTGCGGTCGTCACCGTTCTATTAAAACGCACATATTAAAGCGTCTTTGGTGTTTCCATGTTTTCTACAAAACAAAACCAGAAATCGAGGGGTTATGACGTCATTGGCAGACGAGACAAGACAACACAATGACACTATAGACACGGTCCGTGTCACTAGTTAAAATTGCTTATTTCTCTGGATTTAAACATTCTTCGAAACATTTGGTATAATGCAAGTAAGTACACAAGTCAGCAAAATATATAACACTGTTCTAGTGGTTTTTGGATATTTTAATAAAAAAAATCTTACACATTGTGCCTTCAAGTCATATTGCGAGATATAAAGTGACATTGGGAGATATAATATAGCAATGATGAGAAATTGTAATTGTATTTTTTATGAGGTAAAAAAAAAAAGGTTTCCATAGAATGTAAAATGCATGACAAATTCTTCTTTTTCAGTTAACATGACTGAACATTGTTAAAAAATTTTTTTTATAGAAACAAAATAGTTTTTAAGCATAAATCTCTGAAAAATGAAAAGAAGTGCAAATTAAGCAAGAAAAACTAAAAACTTAATTCAAGTGATATTCTTTGAATAAAAAGAGTCTTATACACGTTAAAAAGAAAATGCCTTTTTAAAAATGTTTAGATATTTTTACTGGATAATAGGGCAAAATACTTACTATGAAATGATTTTTTTTTTTTTGCAGTTTTGTATCGCTGCGTGTGGGCAGACCAGTAGGCTACAGGGCTTCTGTGAGCTCTTTAGCGTTAATTGATTATCATTATAATTTCATAACACGTCTTTAAGTTCTAGATCTCTAAATGGCAATAATTTCATCCATGGTTTCTACCAAAAGAGGTCACCACCCAAACAAGCAAGGGCAAAGAACACTTTCTGACAGTCATGCCTCATGCCTCTCATGATGTTCTTAACAAGCTTGAAAATTCAAGTTATTTACACCTGTCACTGCAAGCAGATAGAGTTCCCCAGACTCATGTATTTGAATATTTGATTATCTTGTTTTTCTTGCTCTCCATACTGCTGGACATCAGTTGTCTCATAGAAACGGTAATTGTCTCTCAGCATGGCCGTGCCAACTGTATTGTGTTCAGTAATCCGGGTGAATGACAAATACAGATGGTTGGCTTTTGTTTAACCTTTCTGTTTTCCGCCCTTTTCCTCAAATCAGTCTCATTCACTCTCTTCCACTTTGAAGCCACAGACTGCTTAGGGATAGAGGCACGTAAATGGAAAGAGTGAATTGTCTCGAAAGAGTGATGAGAATGGAGACATTGTGTAGGCGGGTGCCATCAATCCAGCTTCATGCTGAAGTACCTCTCGAAGCTTCACTAAGCACTCAGTTTAGCTTAACAAGTTATGTCTATTGACCATTCTGTAAATGATCTCAGTATTCTGGAAAGGTTCCAGTGCTGTTCCACAAAAGAAGATATTTTGAGGAATGCCTCGGTGTGTTGTTGTTTTTTGATACAGTAAAAATCAGTGAGGTCCACTGATGTTTACTTTCATTGTATGTTCAAATATTGTTCAAACAATTTTCAAAATATCTTCTTTTGTGTTCTGCAGAATAAAGAAAGTCATACAGGTTGGGAACAACATGAAGAATGATTTTCAGGTGAACAATCAGTGTTAACATTGACTCTTTTCACTGCAGGAAAACATCAACGTTGATGAGGCTGCCCGGTTCCTGGTGGAGAACATCCTTCTCAACGATAAAGGTCTTCCATATGAAGAGAACAATGGTGACAAGATTAAACTGGACCAACAAACAATGCCTGCTGAGAGCAAGTCAGGTTGCTGCTAGTGTGGATGCTCTCTTGTTTTAAAAAAATCCCCCAATCTCACCTCATCCCAAACCCATGCCACGGATCACATACATAACCAGGGGTAGACAGTTTTGTGCTCTAAAACGGGAGAAGACATCACTGCCAAAGGACAGATGATCAGATGAAAACATCTGATGCTTTTAATGACCAGTTTTTCTCTCTCACTCTTGTTATGTGCCATGTTTGTCCTTTTAAAAGTGTCAAGCAAGTTACTTCCATATGTGCTTGTTGTAATATTGCTTAAACGAATGAAACTAAATGGGTGTCATAGAACCAGACAAATACCAGTAAAAGTTCTTAGCCAAAATTAAATTAAACGAATGCCTTTGTCACAGAGCTGTTTTAATGTATTCTGGACTATTTGCATCTGCTGCTGGGAATCGCAATTCTCAAGATGTCACTTTATAGCAAAATAGTACATATTCCCAGGGCATTTAGTCTGTTGTGAAGATCCAACCATCAGTCTTAAAGCTCTTACCACAAAATAATTTGATCATGAAAAGAAAATGAATTGTCCTCTAATGAGAGATCTGTAGGAATCATGGGCCTATAAGCATGTACATATGTGGTTCAGAGAGTAAGATCATGTTGGTTTTCTTCAGGCTTGTACATGTTAATGTTAAAATGTTTATTAATTGTTTTTAAATTGGTATTTAATGAGGGATCTGAGCATTTGCTCTGTCCATGGCTCTATTCTAGAATTACCTGAAGGCAAACATATATTTTAATATGCTGGAACGAATTTGTCAAGTTTGCAAACAAATGTTTGTTGAAGTAACAATGACAGAATAAAACTTTTTAAACTGTTCATAGTCTTTTCTTGTATGATCTCAAAGAATATGTGAGAGGATGTGCCTTAAAATTTGAAATTCTAACAAAAGCTTCAACATAATATAATTATGATAATATGAAGATTTGTATGCAGTAGTAATTGGTTGTCTTTTCAAAGCAGCATGATAATTTAGAATGCTATTAAAATCCTGGCTTCATTGCAGTTGAAACATTGCCTTAGGCCATCTTAAGATGGGGGATGAGCTGTGTATGATGGGAAAAGGGGACAGAATAAACTTTGCTTTAATACACATGCTTTAATTTGTAGGTGCTGTGGTAGTAGAGTGCCATCAATTTCAGAAAAATCATACAAGCAGTTTTCTTGCCATACGTGTATCAGGCGGTAGATGGACTAAGAATGGGTTCATTAAGTCATGATGTTGATTATGTGAGTTCACAAAGCTGTTCTGAACAATTCTTGAGTCAACAACTTAACTGATTCATTTAACTGAGAACTGTCTTATTCGAATGTATAATGAGTCGAAAACCGAGCATTTTAAGGTTCTAAATTAATATTTATTTTGTTTGAATAGAAACAAACTGAATTGAGACTTTTTTTAAAGGGGAAAAAAAATATATGATGAGATGTCGCGTGATGACTCAATTACGTGTTGACGTAAAACTAAGGTACTAAGCGGATTCAGTTTTTGGAATCGTTTCTTTGAAACTAACTGTTCAAAAGAGCAGAAAAGAGACGAGGCTTTCTTCCCATCGCTAAATGACAGTGGATATACTCTAGGGTTTGTTTGAGGAGGTCAGGGGGAGTTCATTGGCGGTTCATAGATGGTAATAATAAAGCGCTCGCCCTGTGCTAGTGCTGTCGGCAATCCCAAGCGATCCTGTCACCTAGCAACATGGCAAACTTTCCCTACTGCCTGAATCTCACCCTGGGCATCGCTTCCTATTTATCATTATCTTCCGTGCTTTAGTCAGCCAAGTGCTGCTTCAAACTATGAACTCTTAGATTAGAAACAAGGCCTACGTACACTTGCAATGTCGAAGTCACCCAAGAAAAAGACGCCCTCCTCCAGCCTCGTCGCTTCTTCGAATGCACACGCTCCCAAAAAAAGAGAAGAGTAAGATCTGGCTAAAGATTTGTTTATACAACCTCACTGTGTTTATGCCCTCAAAGTATTTAAATAATATGGACAAATCACAGATAATATATTTGATAAAACATTTATTTCACCTTATATCTCTGCTGTATTGTGTTTGTCCTCAGCTTACAAAAGTTGTTTATGTTTAGTTAAATATTGCAGGTCGGTAGTTTTGAATTTAACAACATGCAACATTTGTTAATGTAATACATTTTCCTGGCAGATTTTGTGAGTGCCTAATACGAAACTGTGTATTTTTGTGTATTTTACATTAACAACAACAGGCCTACTTTTCTAACATTAATTACTTATAATCTTATTTTCTTTGCGGTTACCCATAGGTTAATACACATAGTTTACGAATTTCTATTAATTAATGTTTTAATCCTATTATAAATTACAAGCCCAATTCCAGAAAAAAGGGAAAAGTTTTATTTTTTAGTTTTATCTATATATAGGTAGAAAGAGAAAAGACCAATCACAAAACATTATGCAAATGAAACTATTATATTAAATATTTTCTAATAGATTACATTAAAAATGTACTGTCTCTCATTGGTCAGTGCATCGGAAAGTCCTGAAGAGCCCAAGAAGAATCTGATCTCTCTCTGGCTGGAGTGGAGTGACACTGAGGTCAATGCTGAGAAATGGGATGCAGCCAAAGCCTCTAAGGATAGCAAGGTGAGAATTAATGAATAGAACATAATTTAATATTCAATGTCTTTCCTTTATAAAAAGCTTTACAGAGCAATATCAGTGTTGGTCAGTTGGTGAGAGTAGAAATCTGTTTCAGCAAACTGCTTGGCTTGAGAGATGTAGCATTTCGGTTGATGAGTCAGTGGTTGGCACTGTGCACTTTGAAATTTGATCATTATTTTTTAATTGCTTTTATTCTGTTTTGTATTGGTTTTCCTTTGAATGTGAATCTAAAATCATGCTGAGCATTTTATGTAACAACATTGTCAACAGCTCTTTGATGATCCAGAAGGGAAGGTTGAACTTCTTGCCTCCTTAAGAGTACACACTTGGAAACGTCCTTCAGAGTACATACTTAATAAGGGAAGGGTTTATAAGCCTTGTAAGTGGTCACCATCTCTACCAGGTCCAGCAGACTTGATGAATCTGAACTAACCAGGATAGGTAAAGTTAAACAGAGTTTGCAACGTTTCTTTGTCTTGGCATAAAGAGATTTCTGCCAACTGTCAGGTGTACTTACAAATGCACTTTTGAGTGCAGTTTGAGAAGTTTCTGTTCTATCTGACATATATCAACATTACACTAAATTAAAACTGTCCTGACATGACCAGCCTACACACATACAAAGCATACTTGTCCATTTTGTGTGGACCCTGTTCTTTAGTTGCATGTTTTTGGGGAAAATCTAATCTTTAGCCTCAGTGCCAAGCCTAATTGATGAAATCTGTTTATGCCACTTTGAGTTCGGGTTGTGATTAAATTACCTCATGCCCAGCACAACATTTTACAATTATTCCTCCATTTTGATAAGTCTAGGCAAGTCATGGGATGCTAAAAAGTCACAACAAGCAGTAAAATCACAAGGCAATCAAGACTAGGCACTAGAGCTCTGAAACCAATTATTTTTTGCCATCTGACTAGCTGTATTTAAGATGTTTAATTGACAGAATGAATGAAGGTCAGTTCTGTTGTCATGTCCATGGCAACAATTGGGATAAAAGATGAGAGCTGCGATTCTTCTCTCCAAGTATGTGAGTGATACTAAGAGCTTTCAATTTACATTTGATTAAAATTTTATTAACAGAAGATTATCAAATATTCATGGTTTCATGTTCCTCAGAGCGTCAATATGATCTGTGATAGTAGTGGGGGAAAAAACTGAAAAATTTGTATATTTGTCATTTCTTCGGTGACACAAATTTGAATATGTGCCCAGTGTGCACAGTTATAATCATTTTCAAGAATCATTGTTCAGATAGATTTACATGATTTACGGTGCAATCTCAAATAAACGCTCTGAGTTTGGGGTCGGTTAGTGTTTTTAAAGGTATTTTGAAATACAGTATCTTATGTTAAGCTGCATTTATTTGATCAAAACTACAGAAAAAAAACAATTGTCAAACAATATTACAGTTTGAATTAACTGCTTTCTATTTTGAAAATTAAATTTATTCTTGTGATGGCAAAGCTGAATTTTCAGTAGCTATTACTCCAGTCTTCAGTGTCATATGATCCTTCAGAATTCATTCTAATATGCTGATGCTCAAGAAACATTTCTTCATGCTGAAACATGCTGTCATTTTTTATCCTTTTTCCCCAGGATTCTTTGATGAATAGAAAGTTCAAATGAATAGTATTTATTTGAATTTTAATGTAACAATTTACTATCACTTTTGATTAATTTAATGCATCACTGCTGAATAAAAGTATTAATTTCTATTAATAAAAAGTATTAATAAAAAAAACCACTAAAATTAATTTATACTGACTTTGCGTTTGTTTGAGTTGAGATGAAACTAGAAAGCTGAAACTCATCAATGTAGATCTACAGGAACTGGAATTTCTGACATAATATGTATCACACAGACTGTTGTGGTGGAAAATGAAGCTGCTTTCAACCTTACCTCAGCAAATGAGCATTAACTCTCAAGTGAGGTGAGTCAGTAAATCATTTCGGATTGCCTGCATTACTGATGGGAACTAAGAATAATTAGTTTGGTTAGTATTAACTCACACTGGGTCACTCTTCTGCATGGCGATTTCACAGCTCATGCGATGGGTCATTAGTGAGCTCTACATTCTGTGGAAAGTCTGTACCACAAGACCATCTCCACAGTTTCCAACCTCTGGAGACCCTGGGAACACATCTACTCCCTTTGTAAAGCAGCAAATGATCACATGCCCCTCTATAATGCCTATGGGAAGTATGTTATTAAACTCTACTGGATGGATAGTTCAGGTTGAGTATCGACATAATACTTGTATTGTGTAGCACTGAAGTAGATATACCGGTATTTACACGCACACACACTGTGATCTAATCAGTATGTCACTATGTTATGTCAGATGATCCATTATTTAACATTCATAAGTGCAACATTTTTTTGTTTTTACCAGATGCTTTTATCCAACATGGCTTACAAATGAGGAAAAATACAAGCAATTACAACAAGCCAGCACTGAATTTTTTTTTTAATGCTGAATGATTTTATTGAAAACCTGCTGTGAACAACATCCACTGCATTTTATTTCAGCTTTGTGTATAGCTAGAAGAATTTTGTTAAAAAAAAAATATATTTTTTGAGCAGCACACATGCTGCTCAACCTATTGTACCTATTGTAGCAAATGTCCACATTTTTCTTCTAGAAGGACACTGTGTCCTTTAGGCAGTGATTAAGTGAGAACATAACGCTTATCAGGGAGCCAAGAGAGTCAGTAGAACTGTGACTGTCAGATTGCTCTATCTGGGCACAAGAAACTGAGAAACAATTATTTACCTTAACAGCTCCTAGTACTAAATGAGCAAACACTGACCTACACGCTGGTAAGAGTGATTTGTTTGACAGTTGATGTCAAAGAATAGTAAAGTAACACTATCTCAGGCACA